CCCGGGGAGGACCTCAGCCCACACAGGTGGGTGGGGGAAAGGGACAAGGGATGCTGACAGCTTGGAAGCCAGGTCCAGACCGGGGGTAGAGTTCAGGTACTGGGGGTTTCAGGCTAGAAAATGAGGCCAGACCCAGGGCAGGCTCTCCACAGGAAAGAAGATAGCCTCTGGCAAAGTCAGGGTGTGGGGTGGCTCCCATCTCCAGCACAGTCCCCTACCTAGCACTCTCTGAGTATGGCCTATTTTGTAATCATCTATCCACCTCAATTCCTCATGAAAGTTTCTACAGCCCCCCCTAGCTGTGTGATCGTGGGCAGGCAACTTAACCTCTCTGAGCCTCTGGCTTTTGTCTGAAGAAAAGGGCTACTAAGGTCTGCCTTGCAGGGCTAAGGAGAGACAGTGTGTGTCACACCCCTGCCTCATGGCAGGCCCAGAATTGGCTCAGGACACAGCAGCTGTTGCAGCTCCCTGTGCTATCTTTTCGTATCAGTTCTTCCTGATGCGCTGGCTTTTGGCCCTCGGTCGACGGGCCTGTGGTGGATTTATTTGAGGTTATTCCAGAGAACAGAGATGAGCGCGGGCAGGCCAAGCAGGATGCTTGCTGACCACCCACCCCTCCTCCCATCCCCCCCCACATCTGTCTAGGCAGAAGGAAATGAGCCTGAAGACCTTGAACATTACACAATGGGGGAGGGAGGTTGGTGTCTGTGTAAACATTCCTACTGGGTCAAACTCTCCATCCCAGGAAAACAGTAAAGGGAAAGTACAGGGAAAAAACAGCATCAAGACGCACAGCGAATTGAGTTGCAGGTGGCAGCAAGAGACAGACCCCTCAGGTGACAGAGCCGACTAGCCACCCCTCGTAGGGAAATCAGGACAAGTGAGGGGGGAAAGAGGGGAGGTGGGTGGCGGGAATGAGGAATGAGGCGAAGAAATACGGCCGGCAAAATGCAGAAATGCCCTAGCATGCTGGCTTCCCATGCCTGGCCCATGAATCGAGGGGTGACAGGTCTCTCATCTCTGATGCCAAGAGCCAGGAGCTCCGGGCAGCCGCAGGTACTGCATCCGCACCTGCCAGCATTTGGAAAGAGGCAGTAAAGTATCATCGCAGTGCCTGGACTACTAAGTGCCTGCAGCTGGGAAGGGACTGCCTTGCATGAGAGCAGCTCATGGTGAGGGGCTTGGCCCAGCCCAGGCTCCCCTCACTCCCACAGCCTGGGCTCCCCCCAGCCCATGGCCTGGGCACCCCTCCCTCCCAGCAGCCTGCTCCAGAGGGCGGGGCAGGTGCCTACACAATCCAGCCCTGTGCCCAACAGGCCGAGTGATGTACCGAGGCCAGCAGAGAGTAGAGACGCTTGAGTCACTGGTAAATAAAAGCAGATCAGCCGGCACCCCAGCTAAGCCAGCATCTGGGCTGCGTGCAGCTTAGAAGTGCAGCCCCATCCCCCAAATGACGGGCATGATGATGGTGTTTCCAGAGCACCTCAGAGGGTGGTGCCAGCTCCTGTCTGAAGTGCTCGGAACAAATATCAATGTACTGAATCCTCACAAGACCCTCAGGAGTTGGTGGCAGTTTTGCTCTCCTTCCACATACCAGGAAAACGAGGTGGCACCGAGAGGCCACAGAGCCATGGCCCTGGCCAGAACTTCTCAAACTCTATTTGGGCCCATCAGTCACCTAAGGGTCTTGGTGACACCAGACCCGGACTCAGTCAGTCTGTTCCTAGGTGATGCCGCTAGCCTGAGGCCCACACCTTGAGCAGTGAGGCTCTCCACGACCACACTACCAGTCTAGGGCAGGTCTTCAGTTCAGAGATGGCTAAACCCCCTGCTATGGGCCCTGGAGGCATCGAGGAATCCCTCAGCTAGCAGAAAAGGTCCTCAAGGGGTCAGAATCATAGGACTGGAGTGGGGGAGAGCGTGTTGAGTGGGTGTGTGAAGTGAAAAAATGTGTGTGAGGTGAAAAAATGCCAGTGTCCACAGCCCGCCTGAGACTAATTCCATCAGAATCCCCAGGGTGTGGCCCACAGTGGCAATTTTTTTCTCTTTTCCACATCAGAGGGATAATGTGGGAACAAGCCTCAAGGGAGGCACATCTTACACCTGAGCATGAAAACTCAATCACCACGCTTAGGAACCACAAAAGGATCCCAGACAGGAATGTTTTTAAAGCTCCCTGGGTGATCTGGATATGCAGCCGAGGCAGAGTCTGTGAGTCAGACAGTGGAGATGCCTCACTCGGTGTGTCTGACACACGGCTGCAAAACTGGGACAGCTCCTCAGGTTAGATCAAGGGTTTCAAAGGTGCTTTCTGGGGAAGGTGAGGGGAGCTGCCTCCTGGGCTGCTGAAGGGTTACTGCTAGGGTCTGCCAGCACAGCCCTTCATGCCCAAGGCAGACCTGGAGAAAGGGGCACAGCTGGGCAGCTGGCAACACTCTACCCTGGCTTGCCTTCCGAGAGGCACGGGCTCCCCCAGTCCCATGCTATCCAGTGACAGCAGACACCAGCCTGGGTCCTGACAAAGACAGTCCTCTGACAAGCTTCAGTCAGGCTCCTCCAAGCCCTCTCCTTGACCTTGGCCCCACCGCCCTACCTGTCCTGTCTTCAGCCTATCCAACCAAGTCTCAGCAAAGAATCCTGCTAAGTCAGATTAGCCAAGCGCCACGCCCTTGAGAGCTGACCACCCTTGATAGCCAGTAAGTTCCTCCCCCAACCTCTGAAGCACAGTGATGGGGGACTGGCTCCAGGACCCAAATCCACGGCTCCTGCGGACCCAAGTATAGGAAGAGTCAGCCCTCTGAATATGCAGATTTCACGTCCGCAAATACTGAGTTTTCAATCTGTGTTTGGTTGGGAAAAAAACCTCTGCATATACGGGGACCTATGTTGTCCAAGGGCCAACTGAGTCCTTGGCTTGCTTTCAGCAAGAATCCTGTCAGGTCCGTTTAGCAAGACTCTCCCTACCCTCGAGGTCTCCTCTTGGTAATTTCTATCCACTGACCCCCCTCCCTATTCCTTGGCTATAAATCCCGACTATCCTTCTCAGAGTTGAGCTCCACCTCTCTCCCCTACCACAGTGGGCTTCAATAAAAGTTTCCTTACTGTTTTAACAAGTGTCGTATAACTTTTTTCTATATAATTCCCCTACCTCTGGAAAAATCACCCAGCAAGGAAAGTAGCCTATGAACCAAGCACAATTCACATTCCTCACCTTGACTTTCAAGGCCCAAGCAATGACCTCCAGCCTTATTTCTCTCTTACTTGTGCCTCAAACACAGCAAAACTAGATGCTTCACTGTTTGTCACACACATCTCACCTTTCCTCCCATTCTGCCGGTGCCCAGCCTGTTTCTTTTACCTGGATTGTCTCCTTCCCTTCTTCAAATCCACCCAGTCCAAGTCACAGCAATCTCTTCCCTGGTGACCACACTAGCTACGCGAGGATTCATTTTCCCCTGTCTTGCATAACTCTAGAACCTCCCATTTTTGCAGGCACATGGTTCTCTGGGCTAATACTACACTGAAAGACTACATTTCCCAGCCTTCTTTGCAGTTGATGTGGTCACATGACTGAGCTTTTAAACATTTTAAAGTCAGTCTCATTCTGTTGCCTAGGCAGGAGTGCAGTGGCACCCTCATGGCTGCTGCAGCCTCGACCTGCTGGGCTCAGGTGAACCTTCCCCCTCAGCCTTCCATGTAGCTGAGACTACAGGTGTGCACCACCACATCTGGCTAATTTTTTAACTTATTGTAGAGATGAGGTCTGGCCAAGTTGCCCAGGCTGGTCTTGTCTGGGCTCCTACCATCCTCCCGCTTCAGCCTCCCAAAATGCTGGAATCACAGGCATGAGCCAACATGCCTGGCTACAAGACTGAGTTCCCACCAATGCAATGTAAGCACAGCAATGTGTGTTACTTCCAGGAAGCGTTCTTTCAGGCAACAGGTACTTCCTTCTTCTCTGTGTCCTTCTTCCTACCGATGTAATGGCTGGAGCTTCAACAGCCATCTTGGACTGGACCTGAAAGCTATGCAGGGTTTCTGATACCACAGAACATCATACCAGCCTTGGACTGGACCCGCCAGACTTGAATGTGGGAGGAAAATGACACTCCATCTTGTTTTAGTCATTACTCTTTTGGAATTTTCTTAGGTGGTCTTTTAATATGAAAGGCCTAGCCAGGTGTGGTGCCTGTAGTCCCAGCACTTTGGAAAGTGGAGCCAAGAGGATTGCCTGAGTCCAGGGGTTCGAGAGCAGCCTGGGCAACTTGGTGAGACCTAGTCTCTACAGTAAATCAAAAAAATTAGTCGGGCATGGTGGGGCGCACCTGTGGTTCCAGCAACTTGGAAGGCTGAGGCGGAAGGATCGCCTGAGCCCAGCAGGTTGAGGCTGTGGTGGCCGTGAGCCGCAGCAAAGAGTTAGTTAAGATCTACTTTTCAAGTTCAAGAAACTTTTTCTATCTAATGTAAGTTGACGGGCTACGTTTGCAAAATAAATGTTTACATGTTATCTAGAAACTCAAAATATCTCTAGTATATATGAGCTCTGATAAACAAAATCCCTTGAGTAATATTTGAGGTTGTATGTCAAAACAAATTAAGGATAACAATATGCTTCTTCCAGAAAATACAATCTTGGAACTTTCTGTAAGCCACAGCTGAACTTAATGCTATTAGACTCATGCCTTCAAACTCCTGGCAGCATGGACTCTAGCTTCTTGGGTTTACCACACTAGTCTGCATAGAGCTATCACCTGTATCTTCTTTCCAAGTAAAACAGTAAGCAACGTGAAGGTTGGCATCGTGTCTTCTACCTACATCTTTCCTGGCCTCATGGGACATGAGGCCTTGTACTCAACATAAAGCATGTCTTGGGACAGAAGGGAATTCTTTCTTCCATCCTCCACCCACGCCAGTGTGCTGTAAGCCTCCCTGGATCAGCACACCTGAGTTCAGCCCACCCGTACTGCTGAACTCTGCCGCGCAGAGAAACATGCCCTTACCAGGATGTCTGAGCCCTCGGGGTCCTGCCCCACGGCTGGGTTGGAGGAGTTGCTGAGTTTGAACATCCAGTACTCCTTGGCAGTGACAAAGAAGTTCCATGGCAGGAGGCCGCCGATACCCAGGCTGAAGAAGATGAGGTAGGTGCCGTTGCAGCGATCCTCGGGCCTCTGCAGGCCAGGGGGCGGCTGGTTCAGCCTCTTCTCCAGCAGCGCCTCCTGGTCGGCCCGGAGAGAGCTGCTCGCCATTTGGTAGGTGGAGTTAGAACTGTGACAAATGTCATCCTCTGAGCCGATGGCCACTGTCAGTGCAGAGAGGGAAAGAGACAGGGCAGGTGAGCAGAAACTGAGGCTGGGGACAGCTGGGGATCCGACCATCCCATGAAATGACTGGTTGGAGAGCTTCAGTTTTAAGATCGGGCAGAAAGACAAAAACCAGGCTTGGAGAAGGACCACAGAGCAGAACTGTCAGTGACTTCAGAGGTCGCCCCAGCCATGCAAGGGTGGCAGAGGTGACACACAAGTGTGGGGGTAGGCTGGTGTAAAACAGCATCATGCAGGGCCTGCTGTGATCCATCCAGAAAGGCAAACCCAGCCTAAAGGCAGTCGCATGTCTACATGGCCATAAAAAAGGAATGAGGACCCTAAATGGGCAAAGAATAACTTTTCAACTCTTTTCAACTTTATGTGAAAAAAGTAAGGAGCAGGAGAGTGTATGGAACGTGTTACTATTTGAGTAAATAAGTGGGGGGGCTCTATACACACACAGGTATTTGTATATGCACAGAATTAATTTCTGGAAGGACATGTAAGAAGTGTCTAACGGAAAGCCTCAGGGGAGGCATCACTGAACACTCATTTGCGCCTTCTGAATTTTGAATTATGTGAACTTGTAACTTGCTCAAAAATAACGTTAAATTATAAATACAAATAAAAGCATTCAAATCAAATAAATTTTAAAGTTGCCTCTGGAAGCCAGTGTGGCCTCTGATAGTTCACGTCCTCATTGCATCTGGGGGACAGGGAGGTCAAGAGTGGGAGGGTGTAGGCTGGGGGTGGAGTCAAGGATGGGTGTGCAGCTGTGGCCTGGGTCCCACCTCTGCTCCTCACATCCAGCCAGGGGACACAGCCACTCCCAACCTATGGTAGCACTTAAGACACATGGAAGGTTCCGGGCAGCCAGCCACTGTTGCTTACGTGGCCATGGGCAAGTGAACCACGCTCTGAGCCTCAATTTCCCCGTTTGTAAACCCAGAGAAGCCTTTTTTATTTTATTTTTTCCAACGGTTATGCAACTGCAGCCGGCTGGCAGTGCCTGGCCCGTGGTAGCAGCTGTTGAACAAACGTCAGCATCTTTTCCCGGTATCCTGGGCTCATCACCTGGCTGCTGGCTGTGAGGCAGCACGCCTACTTCTGTGCTCTAGACAGCACCTAGGCTGTGGCAGCAGCTTGGTAAATGAGAAACACGTTATTTCCATAATGCCGAGGATGGGTCACTCCGGAGTCCCTTCAGCAGTGGCTTTCTTCCTACCCAATAAATCAGCAAATCCACGCATGGGGTCCTAGAGAAAGCCGGGCCTTCTCAGAGCATCAAGCCTGGAAGAGTGGGGTTTTTCTTCCCTGGGATGAGAATACTCCCTCACATAGGTGCAGAACTTCATCCACTGTTTCTGGGGTACCGCACAGTATCCCTTGGAGTTAGGGCAGAAAATATTGTCCCCTTTTTTCAGACAGAAGGACTGAGGCCTTAGGCTGGGTGTGGTGGCTCATGCCTGTAATCCCAGCACTTTGGGAGGCCAAGGCAGGAATGCCTGAGCTCAGGAGTTCAAGAACAGCCTGGGCAACATTGAGAGACCTCGTTGCTACAAAAAACGATAAAAAAATTAGCCAGGCATGGTGGCATGTGCCTGTAGTCCTAGCTACTCAGGAGGCTGAAGCAGAAGGATCACCTGAGCCCAGCAGGTCAAGGTTGCAGTGAGCTGTGATTGTGCCACTGTACTCCAGCCTGAGTGACAAAGTGAGACTCCAACTCAAAAGAAAAGAAAAAGACCAAGGCCTTGAAGGCACTTGTTGTGACCCACATTCAAATAGAAAGAACTTCCTATAGCTATCATTAACTCTAGCACTCACACATGCCAAAATCTGCCTAGCACAGGTCAGATTTGAGTCTGACAACAGCCTAGTATGTTAAGTACTACCCTAAGACCCATTTCACAGATGAGGAGTCTGAGGATCAGAAAGACTGAGTTACTTGCCCAAGGTCACTGAGCTACCCAATGGCAAGACTGAAGTCACAAGGCCAAGCAGTCTGGGATGCATTTCATATTTCTCGGCCTTCCTGGGAGGACTGGCTGGGAGTGGGCACTGGTGCTGCTGGTTCTAAGTCCAGATATCCCTCCCAGTACAGACAAGTGAGCTGTGAGCAGAGGAAAGGTACACTGCGGGGCATCCTTGTTATCGTTTGCTGAATGAATGGACTCTGTACCACCAGGATGTGGTCCCCTACCGGGGCAGCTCAGACCCCGAAGCCAGCAGCTGGGAGGCTGCCAATGCCCAAGCCCAGAGCATCCAGTCAGCAAGTCTATTTTAAACTCCCTAGTTGAGCAGAATCCCTCCCCAGCCTTGACTCACACAGAGACTGAAATTAACAAGCTAACCAGACAGCCCCCACATACAGACTTCTAAAATTAGTGTTTAATAGGGAAAAAATAGCCCGGGTGCAGTGGCTTATGCCTGTAATCCCAGCACTTTGGGAGGTCGAGGCAGGCGGATTGCTTGAGATCAGGAGTTCGAGACCAGCCCGGGTAACATAGCAAGACCTTGTCTCTACAAAAAAATTTAAAAATTAGCTGGGCATGGTGGCACACACCTGTAGTCCCAGCTCCATGGGAGGTTGAAGCGGAAGGATCGCCTGAACACAGGAAATCGAGGCTGTGGTGAGCCATGATCATGCCATTGCACTCCAGCCTGGGTGACAGACTGAGACCCCGACTCCAAAAATAATAATTATGACCTGAACAGTACAACAGTGGTTCTTCCCAGAGTCTCCACCTATGGGCATTGGGCTCAGGGACCAACAGCCAGGTCACTCGGGACCACACTTGGCCAGGGCCCCTTCTCAGATCCTGTGCTCTATTTGTCAAGGACCATTCAGCCTTGACCAGGCTTCTTCTAAAGAAGCCGAGAGTTTTCTTCAATCCTGGTCACAGGCCAGGGCACTGGAGTGAGCAGTCTTATTAGTTTTTATAAAAGCTAGCGGCTGGCTTTTGGATTAAAAAAGGAGAAAGAAATGCAAGCAAGAGCCCAAGCTTCCCCAAGACAGGCTGGCGGTGGCCTGGCCTGTGTTCCTCAACCCCCTGCAGGGGCTACCAGCTTGGCCCTGCCCCTCTCCGGGGGACCTGGGCAGGGACAGCCCCTGCACCAAGACGCAGACACTGGTGGGGTCTGAAGTCACAGCAAAACACCCTCTGGGCTGGGAAGTCTGGGTGCTGGTTCCAATGAGGTTTTTTAATTCTGCCTAAGTCGGTCTCTGCTCTGTGCCTCGACTTCCTGTGAAAAGGGATGGGGGCGGTGAAGCCAACGCTTGGGACACCACGGCTGGGAAGCACGGGCACCGCCCGGAGGCCATGGCAGAGTCGGCTTCGCTGTTGTGGACAGCTCCAGCCTCTGGTCCCCCAGTTGGGACCAAGAGAGTCCGCCACCAGACTGGATACTCCGGGCTGACTGGTCCGTGCCCATCGCCCTCCCCTCCAGGCGGCGAGGCTCAGTTTCAGGGCGGGGAGGGGAGAGGCCTTGGGGGAGAGAAGATGGAGACCCAGAAAGAGGCAGGGAGAGAGCAGGAGGGAGACCAGAGAGCCGCGGACGGGG